TTCTGCAACTAGAAATTAATGCTTGCACCTACTAGTGTAATAACACATCACCTCCATTATAAAGTTTACACATAAAAAATTAAAAAGTAAGAAAAAGATAAAGTGACAATTACTTCTAAAATGGATTATTATATATTGTAATTGTGCTAAAAAACCCTGATCACTAAAATATTAATAAATTTAACAGTTAATGTGATTAATATGCTTCATTTTTAAAAAATCTTGATTTAAAAGCCTAGTTGTAAGTTCAACTATTTCAATTCTTGATTTTAATGGGTGTAGTAACTAAAAAAGATATTTTACCAGGATATGTAAATGCAGCTGCAGGAATGATTACACTCATTTTTTAATCCCATCTAGCAATGATGCACATTTGGTTAGTAAATTTCCAACTTCCCAAATGTTAATCAGATGTTGTTAAAAACTAATGGGAGGGGCCAGCCCCGTGGCTTAGAGGTTAAGTGCGTGCGCTCTGCTGCTGGCGGCCCGGGTTCGGATCCCAGGCATGCACCGACGCACCGCTTCTCCGGCCATGCTGAGGCCGCGTCCCACATACAGCAACTAGAAGGATGTGCAGCTATGACATACAACTATCTACTGGGGCTTTGGGGGAAAAAAAAAAAAAAAAAAAAAAAAAAAAAAAAAAAAACTAATGGGAAAGTGCTGCAAATTTTAAAAATGTTTAGTAAATGAATTTAAAACCTACCAAACTTTGTTTACATGATTTTAAAGCAGGTTATAAAATTTTGTTTTATAGCTATTAATATATCACTTTACTTTGAAAACTGGTAATTAAAGGGAAATGACTATTCATTCTGTCTTTTCGGTAGGACATTTGGTTTCAGGGTAACCAAAGAGCCCCAAGTGGATGAGGGAAGCTCAACTCCCATAAAAGAAAGCCAGCTAATAAATGAAGGATGAATGCTAATAAATGAAGGATGAACGAAATAATTAGAAAACTGATATACTGAAACCTTAATAAAACGGTTGATTCAGGCAAGTACTATCAATCGCTATTTAAAACACTAGATGAATGGTTGATGGGGAAGTGGACATACAAGTAGTTCCAAAACACCACCACATAGAATACTGCAAGTCATAAGGAGAAAACCATACAGTGAAGGGATTCAATGGTGAGCACCTAAACCAGTGGTCATTTTTAGCATCATTAACGGTAATTTAGGTATTACATGTATTCTGATGTGATTCAACATGTACTACTAACGCACAAGCCTTTACATATAACTTTCAGTTCATAAGAAATACAGAGAATGGAGAAGCAAGTTAAAAGATACCATAAAGAAGAAACCAGAGAAACGCAAAAAGTGAAACATTCTAATAGATAATAGGTCTGGTCTCTTCAATAAAACAGCGTTAGCAAAAGGGGACCGTATGTGGGAGAGATTAAGGGCACAACAACCACATGCAATATATGGTCCTGGATTAGACACTGGTTTGGACATTTTGGATCAACTGGGGAAATATGAATACAATCTGGGCGCAAAGATGATAAAGCCCGTACCAAAATGGAAGAACCGATCACCGAGTGAAAAACGCAGGTGATAAACTGTCCTGGTGAACCTAAAACATATAGTGTATGTCTGCGCGTAGATACACACACATACATGTGCACAGGTCCTGCTTCTATAAATAGAAGAGAACGTTTTTGAAAAAAGGAAAATTTTCTAAATTTCTCAAGGGTGTAAATATGGATTTTGTAAGTGACATCATTTTTTACAACAAAATGACAAAACAAAGTTTCTAACTTTTACTTTTGAAACATTCCCTTAATCATAAATTTGTTTTGAAAAACAAATTTGTTCAAAACAAAACTTACTTTTCCACTTAAAATGTCACCTTTACTTGAAATGACAGGTTAAGTACCACCACTGCAAAATCTGGCTAGGTAACAGCCACTGACTTACCACAGAACAGGGTAGCAAACTTATTTCGTAAAATGATGTGGTTCACTTAAGTTTTCCACACAAGAAAAACTCGCAGTTATCTTTTATGTTCTTCAACTCTTGCACAGTGAGTGGTACAAAGACTTTTAGTTTCACCCATATTTGTTAGCAAAGATTCTACCATTTCAGATAGTTGGTAACCCATTTCCTAGACCACATATAGAACAATACTTGGCTATACACTGAAGACAAATCACTAGTCAAGGCACGCATGGTGCCTGACCAGATGACAAAAGGACAGAATGGGCATGGGCATGTGAATCCCACTGTAGGTATGTGAGTATTTTAAGTATTTGTAAAGCCTAACATCTTCTTTAAGATAAAAAACATAAATAGAAGTTCTCTTAACACCTTACTCTTATGCTCCCCCCACACCTCATGCTAGCTCCTTTTATGTACACAAGGATGAATGGAGCATGATTCCTTTCAGGGGCCCAGAGTTTAGAAAGACAAAGATAAAGTCAGTCCATTTGGAATCCTTCCTAAGAATTCTTCCTCCAGATTTTTTGTTTTTATTTTAACATTATCACACTACCCTCCAAGTCAATCACTATAAAAAGCCTATCTTACCAAAATTCCTCAGCAACTCCAGAAAAGGTTATCAAGGCTGCACATCAGTTTTTAGACAATTTTCACTCATCTCTACAAATCTTTAATCAGAGAATTCAAAACACTTCAATCAAATCAAACCTGCACTAACTTACCTTGATGTATAATCTTTTGAGGTATCCATATTCTATCTTGACATTCCTTTGCTACTATTAATAAATTGCCTTTTCTTAGAAGTTTTTCTCCTTTTCCTCACCTCGCATCATTACAGCTCCACGCTCCTACTTGAGGCAACCAGTCATGGCTGCAAAGACTTCTGCTACAGCCAAGAGCTATAACCCTCCTGCCAAGCTGGCTTCTAACGGAGCAGAGCAACAAACTCAAGCGAAGGTCCAACACCGCTCACCTGCCACTTTCCTAACAATCAAATCAGTGCCGACCTGGGAGCATAAAGTCCTGGAAGGAGTTCTAAATCTAAAATATACTAACTGTAGAAAAATAAACTTTTGCATGCCAAAATACAACCATAAACAAAGTCAAAAGGCCAACACCAACCCGAGAACGAATATGCCAACACATTTTCAATAAACTGCCAAGGGGTTATGGCTTTTTCACTAGCAGTAAAACACAACAGCAACAAGATTTTAAAAGAGGGATTTCTTATATATAAAATTATCAAGTGTTTTGTTTTTAAGACAACTCTTGGTTCCCACCATACCCACAGCCACCCTCTAAGGGTTTCTTCACACGGAAGTCACGGTATCTAGCTCCTCAAGACCCCACCATCTTGGGGACATCTCATCTGACCAGAGACAAGCAACTGACCCAAAAGCAGCCTAGGCAGAGCTGTGTGTGTTCCGCTCAGGAGCATACTCTCTGAGATGGAACTGCTTCAGCCATCCAGATTTTCTCCTGAGCAGTGTAAAGACTTTTACTGTCCCACCAAGGGCCACTTTCTCAGGGTTCCCTGGAGTACTTTATGAGCCCCAAGAATTGTGGCTGCATCCTTTTTTCTGTAAAGCTGTCGTGATTTCACTCTAATCCACGGGGTTCCTCTCCACACTGACTAGCCAAGTAATGAGACCAAATGCCCAGTTAAAACAGCCACCTCTCCATATTCTCCTTTTCTCGAGCCCTCAGATAGGCTCTTTTCCTTTCCTAAGGACTTTTGCCGCTAAGCACAATAAACAACAGGAAAGATGGAAAAAAACAAAAAACAAAAACACCATATCTGGGTAAGCTTAAGAAATGAAATTTTAATAGATATAATCTATAACCTGTGTTTCATACACTCAGAGATGATATTAAACTTAAAGTCATCTCAGAAACATTTCTCTCAACTACTCTTGTGAGCACAAATACGAAAACTAAACCAAAAAAGGCCTCAATCGTTGTCAATGATTAAACAGAGAAAAGGAAATTATTAAATCTTGAGGTGCAATTTCAACTAGTACCACCAACTTTTGGTCTAATCATTGTAAATTCCAGATTATCAAACTATATACCAGAAAATAATTTTAAAAGAGAGGAAAGCATGACAGAAACAAGTAGCAAGGTGGGGGAAGAAAGAACTTATCTAAAGAACTCCAAAAAGAATCCTTTATCTAGGAGAATAACTATTACACCTATGGTGGGCAGGAGAGGAAGAAACATCCATTCCTTCTTTCTCTCCACTGATTAGAGCAGCTAGCTTCCACACCACCAAAAAGATGAAGGACGTTCCTCTGGAGAGCTCTTAGCTTACTCAGGAAAAACTGTGCTAAGGTACTCCTGCAGATGAATGCACTAGGCGCTGGATAAAATTTGACTCTAAAAAAACAAAGTTCTTCCGTGATATTTACAAATAAATGAAATTCATAACTCTGTAAATCCTGGCTATTCCAAAGCATACTTTCCACGACCCAAATTGACACTCCATGTCATATGTGATCCACATAGCATGTTTCCATTTTCCTACAATATGGGCAGGCCATGTCCTCCTGCTAGATGTTCTCATGAGAAGGGAGATGACTTTGGAATCACACCTTAGTTAGGAAATGTATTCAAATCATAAAGCACTCTTACCTCATGTGATGCCCTTTGATGTTTTTCTTAAAAAAAAAAAAAATCAATTACTGGTCCTGACTGCACTTTCACAACTTTATTAAATGGATCATGAGTTAATAAAAACACAGCTTTGAGGGCATTATTTTCTAACCCTAAGTGCCATAATGCATAAAAAGGTTTTCACAGCAGTTGGTTAACGTAGGTTCAGAACAGCAAAACTGAGTAGAAGGTACAGAGATCTCCCATATACCCCTCCTCCTCCCACATATGCACAGCCTGCCCCAGTTGGTCAATTCTTTAAAAGCAAAACATGCTTTTTTGGGAAAGAAATCAAGACATTATCTTAGAAAAAGAAATTACAAAATTCCAACTGCAAATTTAAAGTATCACTGTTGTATGCACTTTCACCAACACATTAGGAAAAAGTAGTTAAATACTTACCATATAACATCCAACAAGGAAAGCAGCATTTGCTTGTTTTCTCTGATCAGAGCCAGTAAAATGAATAATTTTTTTCCTTATCATTGTAATGGACTGCATGAAGATAAACAGCTGTCAGTATTTTCTTTTTAATTTCAAGTTTTCTAAAACTTTATTTTGTGATGAAGATAAATTCCAAATCTCACAATGTATAAACATTCATATTAGCAAGCTCTTTAAACTCTGATACCAAAAATTACCAAGTACCTTCCCCAAAAAAGACATATCCTTGGATTAGAATGAATGTACAATGAAAGAGGGAGGAGATATGAAAAGATACATGCTTAAAGTAGAGACTGCCTCTGAAAGAAGACACAAGAAGCTGGAAAGGGAGGGGGTCCTTTTCCTTCCTTTTCCTACTGCTTGACTTGTTTAAAAAATCTATTCCCAAAACCTTTAAATTAAAAGAGTATATAAAAATGTGCAAAAATAATTCGTTCTGTTAGAAATCAGGATAGTGAAGGGGGTGGGGGTGGGGTGAGGGTGGTGCAGAGATAACTGAGAGCAGAAGTGGGCTGGTGTGGGGCTACTTATGTTCTGTTCTTGATCTGATGATCAAGATGATTACCCACTATATTCAGTTTGTGAAAATTCATTGAGCTGTACACTCAAGATCTGTGCATATTTCTGTACGGACATTATACTTCAATAAAAAGTTAAAAATAAAAGGGTATGGAATTTAAAAACCAAAAGAACACATGATTAGTTAGCACTTCCTCACCTGTACTTCATTCATGTAAGTAGAAATGGATCTGGGTAAGGGTTAAGGGACAAGCTATATTCAGTTCAATAAGCACATGTTCCTTGGCTTCTGTGAGTCAATGCTGAATGTGTACTATTTCCTTTAGTTGTTTACATGGAGCAAGAGATCCAAGTTGGTTTAAAAAAGAAAAAAAGCAAAACAAAACCCAACCAGCCATAGAGCAAGACAAGCACAAGACACTCAATTCAAACTCCCAACACACTGTTAGCATTACTAACTGAATAGCAGTCATGTTTCAACCAGCTTAGATGCTCAACACTCTGCAAGTTGTTCTAGAAAATGATAAAAAGTAAAAAAAAAAAAAAAATTAAAAAGGAACAATACATTCTTCGTTGACCCAAAGGATAAAAATCCATAGACGGCTGAGTACGGGGAAAAAAAGATTCTTTCAAAATTAAAGCAAAGGAACACAAGTGGGGGGAAAGGAAAATATTTTTAGCTTTTTTAGCTTCCTGGCCCTGTGTAACAAAAGATCTGCCACTGGCAACTGGAAAAGGGGGTGGGGGTGGGGAATAAATATATAGGGCCATAAATGCTTATATTCCTATTCAAGAGAGAAATAAAAGCCAGAAAGAAGAGTCTCCATCTCTATGTAATTCTGTAATGAATATACACATAATGCAAAAACAAAAAGCAATGCTACAACTTCCATTTTACAGATCAGTAACTCATCTGACAGGTGCTTCTAACACTTATGATGTGGAATTTAGGCTTGATGCTCAAAGAAAAAAAATATGCCTTACCCCTAAGTTTTTAATACAACTTAATTTTTAATTGAAAATAAATTGTATTTCTTCTGTGTAGCAGTCTGGTAATTAATCAATTGAATAAAGTTGTTTTTAAAAAGTACCTGCCCCCAAATCCAGTATTTTCTACCTGAGAATTTACAGTGACTAATTTGGAATTTCTAGCAGTACATAAACACTTCTTATTGTGTATGACAAATAATTCAAAGTTTTTTAAATAAATGAATGGGGTCCAAGTACAAACTAATAGAAATACACTTTTGTTACTCAGTGACACGGCCTTACAGGTACGCTGCCTGCCCTTGCTTCCTCTGCTCCTTCACAGCATGTGTAAAGCGGTAAGGTGAAGAATCACAGGCAGTACACTGTCATGGTAGGGTGAGGACAGAATGAGAGCAAGTAAGAGGAACCAGTTTTCCTTTATTAGTTGGCTAGCATTCCGTATCAAAGTGAAGGCAGAAAGAACAAGGACCAAAGAGAAGTTTCTCTTGTTAGCTTTCAGTTCTATTAGCTCAGACAGTAAGAGGTTCACTTTATTAACCAAATTCTACTTTGGCTTTTCAAGCATTTGAGCATTACCAATCCAAACCAGAACCAAATGACCCAAACTTAAACCATTCAATCAAAACTCTAGAAAACAAACATGTATACTATGACTTTATAAAACAAAAACCACGCATATGTCCCAAACACCACTGCAGTGAAAAACAGGATATTTCCTTTTTAAACACAGATATGTTTTCCTTAATTTTCCCTCCCCAAGATCAGGCTAACAATGATTACTTAAGTCAAATTTTAAGTGAAAAAGACTTTACCTTTAATTTCTTATTTATCTTGCAACAATATCTGTAAACCATTGCCAGATTGAGGGGTCCAAAATCTGCGTAGAAGCTTTAAAAATGAAAAACAAAAACATATATGTATATTCTAGATGCTCTGAATAAAAATGCTTTTTTGGAGCTACAAGATCAAATTAACACAAGAAAGCATTCACAAATTGTCGTCAGTCATATAACTTAAAGGTATTGCCTTACTAGTGGAAGAAGTATCTTGGTAAACAATGTCTATTAAAAATAGGACAAGTGCTACAGCACCTAAATCTAATGTCAAATAACATATGAAAATACCTCTGAATCAAAAAGCTGTTTTTCCACACATATTTTTCCACTGGCAAAAACACATCTTACTTATTTTAGTACACTAGTTTATATCTCATTGTATTGTAAACTATTAGAATTTTAAATGTAAATTGTTAAAATTTAGAAAGGTTCTTTCATTTTGATTCTTCCCCTAAGGATCTATTTTATTACCAAGTGCTAAAAAAACAAAATCCTGTAATTATCAATCAACAGATGTGTATTTTTCCGAGGCTATCCTGTTTATAAACATACCTTTAGATTCTTAAAAAAAAGTTACCAGTAATCATTTAAAAAGCAATACTTACTTCTCATATTCAAGTTCATTATCTATGCTGAAATAATGTACATTTGATGAACTCTTTGGTCTGCTGTAGAGAATGGCAAAACAAAGGCGATCTGAAATGGAAAAATTGCAATGTTCTTTCCTTCAGGTTATTAAAAAACACTTCATATATCATGATGCAACTCGTTTCAGATGAAGTCAGCTTTTTATTTTTTCCATGCATCTTACAGATGGTAAGGCTTGCCACTGGGTAATTTTAAAATGTTTTGGCTATTTTGGCGGGTAACAGACAAAGCAATTTTTTGTAAAGGAGAAACTGCCTGTAACCTTAAAGTTTCAATAGCGATGCAACTTTTCACATAAAGATACGGCTTGATTTCTGGAGGAACCTCTCATCACAAAACTTTAGTTTCCTTAGACTAAGAAATTTCAGCAAATGGCAGCATGCATTTGATGGCTAACCATCAACCTAGATGACTTTCATTGTGTTTCGCTATGTTTTCAAGACATCCTAGAAGTCTTTTCAATAACTTTTTTTTTTTAAAGAAGAGAAAGAACTCTGTTGAAATTGCTTCAAAATTAACGTATAAGGCAATAGAACGCAAAGAACAAAACAAACCATATGTTTATGCAACTGTTCTTAGGGATCACTATTTTTTTTGATTCGGAATCACTACCTTTGTTGTCATTTTTACACTTAGACAAATTACAAGGAAAGCAATGAGAGGTTTCTGCCTGACGAGTGTGAGATGAACCTGTGTTGCATAAATGCAGTTGGGCTGCCCTGAGGTTCAGCAAGAGTGGAAAAGAGCAGTAATACTCAGAGGCTCCACCCTTCCTCCCCCGCCCCACCCAAAAAAGCTGCCTAAAATCGTTGGCGAAGCAGTCATCTGCAATACCTAGTGGTAGTAGTGCTAGCAGGACACTGACACTGAACGTGCGGCAAAATCAAGTGCAGCCTTTAACATATTAAGAAAGAAGGGACGCCAGCGGGCATCCTTTCCCCAAACGGTAATTTAAACAATTTTTGTCTGCAATTCGACTTACGCAATTGCTGTATTTATTTCCTTGTCAACTCTTCAACTAAAACGTCTCGCAACCACAAACACTCAAAGCGGACGACCTGGCTCACTCCCTTCCAGTCACAGACGACCCTTGATCCCCGTGCACAGGGAGGGGTTTCGCTCGCCGAGGCGGAGAGGCTCTACTCCTGCGCCAGCCAGGGGTGCAGGGACCCTCGTGTCCCTGCAGATACGCCCACAGTGACTCCGCCGGGACCAGGAGTCCCAGGAGGCCACCCACACCCGGGAGACAGCGGCGGCCGGCCCCAGCTTAAAGGACCTCCCGGCCAGCAGTCGGGCCTCCTTGCCGGGGCCCAGCTCTAAAAGCGCTGTCCGGGCCAGGCCGCGCCTGCACTCACCTCGGATCACCTCGGCCACCAGAGAGGTGCCCGCGCCCTCCCGGCTCATGACCGCACAGCATCTGGAGGGCGGGCGGAGCCAGGGGACAACCAGCGCCGACCACACCCCCGTAAGAAGTTGACAACGCCAAGTTTAAAGGGCCGAGCCCACGCGTGACAGCGACGCCCTCGGCCGCCCACCCCACCCCGGAAGTTGACAACTTCTCAAATGGCCCCAAACGGGCGGCGGCGAGGGAGTGCAGCACGGAAACCACCCGGCCGCTCGGGGAGCGGGGGTCTGCGCGCGGCGCCGAAATCCTGCGGACGCGCGGCCCGCTCCAAGAGCCCCGGCCTCGGACAGAACGCGGCCCGCGGCGCCGCAGGGACTTCTCGGCCGACGGGGCGCCGCCCTCGGCCGCCAGGGG